GAAAGGTGTGAAGCCTTGGACATGGCAGGCAGCTGTATATTTTATGGTTTAAGTTCGATTTACGTACATGATTTCCGATTTAGTATGAATAATGCTTTATATCAATTCTACGAAAGAGTTTGGCTTTTAATAACTTTCAAATATTCAAATGATTTTTGATTTTTTATGCTAAATTCACTTAGATACTCGTACATACATATTCCTATATTGATGGATAGTTTATATACATATTTACACATATTTCCCGCCATTATATGTAATATTTATATATGCAGATATCTTTTGGATGCTAATGAAAGTGGTTTGGTGTTTTTTTTTTATTTCATTACAAAGTAGTGGATTATACGCCTCGCGTCTTGGGTAATACGGCGCCTGCTCTAGACTAACCATTTATCAAGCGAAAGTGGTTTCGACACAGCAGCAGCAAACATAAAGGCACAACAAAGCATGGCAGTGCTAGCGAGCGTAGGAAAATGTTTAGTTTATAAATAAAATTGCAAGTCGTAAAAATAGCAAAAACAACAACCACACGTGTAGTGTGAATGTATGTAGTAGCGGCAACAGTCGTCGGTAGCGGTAGGCCATTTCCTGTAACAAGTAAAAGTGTAAAAAAATGGCATCCGCGCAGTGGTAGAGTTAAGTTTAGCTATGCGTATGTATGTATGTATGTGTAGCAGTTGGAGCAGTTTTCCTTTTTATTATTATTTTTTTTTATTACATAAAAATCTTTTTCTTTTTATTAAAAATTTGATATTTCTAAAAACTTTTTCTTTCACTATAACATAATGGAACAATCGCCAGGGATTCAATGTTGTTGTTGTATGTTTTGCATTTTAATTGCGTGCAGCATGAGTTTTATAGCAAGTTTCATACATAAATGCAGTATGTATAGTGTTAATGCAAAAAAGGCACAAACACACATACACACTTACATACAAACATACGTAAATAAGCATTGCGTTTGTGTGCGCGACGTAATAAAAATCTGCATTTCACAGAATGCAACTCTGTAAATACAAATTAAATAATCGCTACTGCGTTTAACCTGTTTGGACAAGCCGTTGGCCAGTTGTGGAGATTATTGGCTAAAAGCCTTCATATTTGCATCAGGTGTAGCTATGTCCATATGTTTGTTGCGGGGTATATATATTTTTAACATTCATATATGTGTACACATGTACATATGTATGCATGTACAATATGTATGCATGTTTGTTTATGTAATTTATTTATTTTCTGTGCGTTTAAGCCTTTAGCGTGCCCATTTATGTTTGTGACATACACACATACATACATATACATATACGTTTGGTACATACAAAGCCATACTGCTACGCTAGCATTTTTCACACGTTCTGCTTTTGTGTTCGGTGAACTAAAGCTAACATGAATTGAAAAAATTTCATTCACAAGCAAATTAATCAAATCGAAAATTATTTTTTTTTTTAATTAAAATCCGCATTTTTTTTATTTAATTTAAATTCAGTTCCATTGTGTAATGTGCAGTATGTACATATGTAGCATTACTCTTAGCCATAAGATATATATACATATAATAATTGGCGCTTTGTAACCACAGAGGCGATTTTTGGCCGAGTTCGTCATCCAATTTGTGGTCTTACGTCTTGATATTTTTCCATCAAAGCCGCTTCCGAACAGCAGAAATGCAAATTCCAAGAGCTGAAGCAACGTCAAACGAAGGCCGTCGTGGTCGTAAGGCAGTGAGCCGGAAAAAACGGTTTTCAAGCCAGAACTGACGAACAGGAAGATTTTGGCAAGGAATAATCCACTTTGAGCTGCTCTTCTACAGCCAAACTCTTACTTCAGACCTATACCGACAGCATTTGGATAATCATAAGGATTCAATGACTTGCCACAAGCTTCAAAATCTTAGTTGTGAGGTTATTATGCATCCACCTACAGTCCGATTCCAATCTGTTTCTGTCTATGGGAAATGATTTAGCTGCTGTAGAATTGGCCTCAAGAGAAACCAGTGAAGAACTAATTTATTGTTAATAGAGATAAGGAATTCTATGATAGTGTCAAAATGGCGTTACCTTCGAATGAATAGCAGAAATGGATAATTCCAACTATGGTGAATAGAGCCTTAAATTTAATGCAAAAATAATGATTTACTCTTTATGAGATGCTTCCAGCTACATAGTTGCATGAAATTGAAAGAGTTCTTCAAATCGAGAAAATCTTTTCGCAAATGCATAGTGAAGATTCACATTGGCGCACAATGAGCCTACTCAATGGCTTAAGTGATTTCGCCTGCGGTCAGATTCTCAATCGCCCAGTTCAAACAACCAACCACCTGCCCAATAACCAACAGCCGTTGCTTTGACCTACTCTAACTGGCTGGACATCACAGTCTCCACTCCTTTTCGCTTAGCAAATTTTCTGGTTTCTAACCTTCTAAACTAGTCTTTTTCTCCATGATTTTAATTTTATTTGGCATAAGTTGAAAATGATTTGGTTTGTGGTTTGCCGTTAACAGCTATTGATAAGTTCAATGAGTGGCATTAGCTTGTGAGCGAAGTTATCGAAGCCGGCAGAAACGAAAGATAAGTTTGGAGTGATGCTATTAATTTTTGAAGAGTTTAGCTGCGAACGAAAAACAATGTTGAAGACAGGAAGTAATCGGAATGTGATACAAAAAGCGGAAATGTGGATATTCGATTTATTTTATTTCTATTTTTTTTTTTTTTTAAATTGAATATTTTATTTTTATATTGCATTAAATTTTTTTTTTAATTTTCCATAACCTCTTAGACTAAAAATAGACACAATTACAACAACGATAATTTAATACTATGATCGGTACAATAAAATCTATGCTAACTCCGCCAGTCACAACTGTCACTTGAAGTTAAGCCGTTGAAGCAGAAAGCAAAAGAAATTAATTTACTTCGGCATGTATTATTGCACAGCGGTTGTTGATATTTAATTGCATTATATACGTACTACATATATACATACATTTATGTAACATTAGCTATACATAAATACGCATTTATGCAATTCTGCTGTGTAGATTTGGTTAGATTTTGAGTTAAAAGTCGTCTTAGCGACGCTTCGGGGATACATATAATATAATATTATGTATGCATACATGTCTGTACATGCTACATATGCACGTAAATATTTAATTTAGCTTAAATGCCAAGGCGTTGTCGAATTTCACACGCTGTTCGGCGAAATGGTGCAAATGAATGTGTGAATTCGCACAGATTTTATGGAATTTTATGTAATACCAATTCCAAAGTGATAAGAAATTTATAATGAAAGAATATTCCGCATGCGGTGAGTGGGGGTGATGTGAATAGTTTGGAAAGTAGGTTAATAATGTTGCAGGTGCAAAGATTTGTAGAATTACCAACACTTCTTAATGTTTTTTTTTTTGCTTTTTAATGTATAATGAATATTTTGCAATTTTTTTCAAATGGAAACTTTTTTAAAACCATTTTATTAATTTTTTGCTTAAAATACATATATTTGATTCTTTATGGAAATTTCATAAACTCATTTTGTAATAATTTTCTTTTGTTAATAAAATTTGTTCAAAAGTTTCTCAAAGTAATTTTACATTTGAGAGTTTTTTATTTGTCATAATTTCGTATTTTCATAAATACAATTTCTAATTTTGTTTTCTAAGAACTTTTTGCCACATTTTAAAATTTTCTTCTTGGAAAATTCTCCAAAACATTTTAAATATTAATGAAAATTCTTCTGCAAAATGATTTCATTGTTGCAAAAAAATGTGATTCTTTGTAATAAATAATCCGAAATTTAATTGAAAAACTTTATATTTAAAATATTATTTTAATTTATGTTAATTTCTATATTAAAGGTGAATTAGATTTTTTCGAAAAAATTCAGGAAAAAAACAGTTGTAACTGCTCCATATGGAAAAAATCATAAAAACGAATTTTATGAAAAAAATTTTGAAATTTCAAATTCACAAACTAAGCATTTTGATTACTCAATGACACTTTAAATTTCATTTGTCATTTCGAAAAATGCTATGAATAATTTATTTAATATAGTATATGTATACAATAGCCATAATTTAAATTTTTTATTTGATTTTATTCATTTTTCAATATACAAGTGTACATGCACATTTATTTGTATGTATATAAGTCTCAATATATGATTTACAATATTATTAATTAATATAATTTTATTGTTATACTACAACAACTATTTTTTATGGTGCGAATATTATTTATGGCCAGCAATTAATTTTATTGCCCACACACGTGCAATCGTAGCCGTACATATGTTTGTAAATATTTTTAATTTGTCGGAAAATGCTCTAAAAAATTATATGCAAATTTGAAAATTGCCTATGTGTCTAGCGGGTTTCAGCTCGAGACGCATAACATAAATTCATGCATGACAGACACAAAGACACAAACTTTCCAACGAAAAAAAAAACTATTTATAATAATTTATATGCTCAATGTTTTATTTATTTAATTAAAGTGTCTTTAATTTTTAATTATTATGAAGTTAAGGTGTTAAAAGCCAACGGCATATTACATAATGAATATTGAGTTTTTATACAATGAACTGGTAAAACTGTATATGTATGCATGTATGTGTATGTAATTTTGACTCACTAATGTGTAGACGACACACGTGTGAGCATAACAGTTGTTAATTAACAAAAAAAATTCATTATTTATGCAGAATAATATAAAAATTTTATAAAAATCTTTCACTCGAACTGAGAAAATGTATTTGTTTCTACGCGTTCGACCTTGAGGACTGACATATGACGCTAATTGTTGAGCCAAACGGGTAAATCTAAAATTAAAACATTTTAATTTACAATAAAAAGAAAAATTTTCAATTAATAGTTTAAGCAATGGAAACTTAAATTTCACTCAATTTATGCATTTTCTTTTATTGAATTTTTAGTATTTTCTAATATCTTTTAGTTAAGAAACTCAAAAATTTTTTAACACAATTTATTTGAATTCTTTTTTTAGGTGAAAATCTGGTTCCAAAATCGACGTTCCAAATACAAAAAAATGATGAAAGCTGCACAAGCGCCCGGTACTGGCGGTGGCATGCCGTTGGGTGGTGGCGGTCCAAATCCTGGTCAACACAGTCCGAATCAAAATATGCACAGCGGTAAGTTTTAAAAATTTTCTATTTTCAAAGCACTGTCTTTACGTCATTAACAATGATATAAGAATAAATATATTAAATTATATATGTAAATGAATTGTTTTTTTTTCGAAACTGTTGACTTTTTGAAGCTTTTTCATTAATTTTTTTTTATGTGTCAGTCAATAACCTGCAGTTCATTAAAAATTCGAGTTTCTAAAGATTAACTTTTTTTTATTATTTTAATTTATTTATTTGTTGTTGTTGTTAGTATGATACATTTATACTTTTATATTATGAATATGTATATGAAACTTATTTTTTTCTTGATTCTTAATTTTAACTGATTTTTTAAAAAAGTCTATCTCAAAATCATTGCAGGCGGTAATAACGGCGGTGGCTCCAACAGCGGCTCACCATCACATTATCTACCTCCCGGACATAGTCCGACGCCATCTAGTACGCCTGTGTCCGAGTTATCACCTGGTAAGATAATCTCTCTAATTTTTTCACTTAAATTTTATTTAAATTAATTTAGTTTTAATTTCAAATATAACATTTTTTAAATTATTGCTATTTTTATTTTGGTGTTAACACTAATTTAAAGTTTTTTTTTTGATTTCAGTATTTCTTGCTTAAAATTAATTTATTTATGAGAATTTTAATTCATACTTTAATTCATTGTGATTCTCATTCTTTATTTCAATTTTAATTTTTTTTCATTTTAGTTTTGATTTTAATTTCAATGTAATAAAACTTAAATTTTTATCTTTATTTTAATTTTAATTTATATTTTATTTTTCATTTTTTAGTTTAACATTTATTTTTAATTATTGTTTTAAATTTAAAACATTTTTTTTATTTTAATTTAAATTTTAATTTTAGTATTAATTTTTTTATAATTTTAAATTCAATATTAAATTAAGCAGTCCCATCTAATCTATATTAATTGTCTAAAAAAGTCATAATAAATTATCGATATCCTTACAAATAAATATTAATTTTCTCAACCCTCACTTTTTCTTTCCCCCTCATTCTCCTCCGCTCTGTAGAATTCCCTCCAACGGGTCTTAGTCCGCCCACGCAAGCGCCATGGGATCAGAAGCCACATTGGATCGACCATAAACCACCGCAAATGACGCCGCAGCCACCTCATCCAGCGCCGCCACATCCGCAAACGCATCACCATAATCCGCCACCGCAAATGGGCGGCTATGTACCGCCACAATACTGGTACCAGCCCGAGACGAATCCATCGTTATTAACGTAAGTTGCATTTGAAAAAAAATCTTTTAACCTTTGTTTAAAATAAACTTTTCATTTTTAATAAAAAAAAACTAATAATAATTATTTATATAATATATTTATATGTATAGGTCTTCTTTTAAATAAAACTAACAACTATTTCACTAATGATAAAGTGTACCCTCCTACAATAATTACAGAGTCTGGCCAGCGGTTTAACAGCACCAGCACCAACAACAAGAATATATACACCAAACCGATCCTATTTTCATAGATAATTCCAATGCATATATTTAATACAGTTAAACAAAAAAAAAAAAGAACAACAACAAACACTAAAAAAGGTAAATTAATTAAAAAATATATAATTAATGTTAAACAAAGTGTAAAATAGTAACAAAAAATGCTGTAATTTACAATATATGTAAGTAAATAATTTTAATAAATATACATACATAATTACGTTTGTAGATGCGTGTAAGTAATTAAATTAAGTAATTAAGCAGAATTCAAATAAAATTTCTTATAATTATTACAAGTAAAAAAAATATATACAAATAATAAAACTAATAAAATAGTTAAAACTTTTACAGTTTAAAAAATGTAGTAAACTCGTATTAAGCGCTGAAAATGTTGATAATATAAAAAAAAAATAAAAAAAAATTATTAAAAAATACAAAAAAAAAAAAAAAAAAATACTTGGTTGTTTTGTTTCTGTTGTCTAAGGAATGTGTATAATTTTTATTAAATTCGCATAATGCAAAACATTAGCGGTTAATTATTGAAATTGCAGGCGTTAAGAAAAAAATATTTAAATAAAATACATGAAAATCAGTTAAAATCCGATCTCAGTAATTTTTTAGTTTCTCAACAGTTCAAACAATTTTTAAAATGAAATTAGAAAAATAATTAAAAATTTGCGAAAATTTAGTAAACTCGTAGTGAAATTGTTTTTAATAAAAAATAATAATTTTATGTGCAATATTATTTTTAATTCAACACATAAAAAGCATTTCGAAAGTAAACAATTAAATTAAATTAACGTAAATATTACAGTTTTTTTTTTTTAATTTTATTTTATTTAGTAGCTGATAGACATTGTGTATAAAAGCTTAAGCAAGAACAAGCACGAAAATTTTGTATCCTATTTTACTTTAATTCGAAACTAAAATTTCATAGAAAAATAAATGAATTTAAAAAAAGTTTAAGTTTTATAATGTAATTTTGTAAATTTGTGTAAAAAAAGTATACATGTATTGGAACATTGTTTAATATATAATTTGTGTTAAATATAGTATTCAATTATTTTAGAACAATAAAATAAACTGTAAATATATATATATATATATAAAATAAATTAGAACCGGCATTATTAAGCGTAGTAAGTTAAGCTTATTTAAATTCAAAAAAAAAAAAAACTGTAAGTACATTGTATCTAATGTGTGGTAAATTTTAATTAAACAGTTGACCCCAAAATTTCCTGTAGTTTATAATAAAAAACAAAAAAAAAATTTAAAAAAAATTTAGTTTTCTTAAAAAAAATATAACAAAAAGAGAAACAATAGTAGAAACCACACACCACAACAACAGAGAACTTTTTCAGCCCTAAATTAAGTTTCATTTACAGCCTTAATAGTCAGTTTCAAACCCAACTTCACTAAAACGATTCCAAGAAATTCAGCAGAAAGTAAAAAAATACTCTTTTTTTATCTTTCTTCAGATCATTTAGAGCATAGTCAAGCCCGAAAATAATAATAAAAATAAGCATTAGAGATATTAAAAAATTAAACATAAGCAAATATTGTATGATTTTTATTTTTTATTGTTTTATGTAAGTTCAACAAATATACAAATACGCTAAAAAGTATATAAATAAAAGTAGTACATAGTAAATCTGTAGACATTATATGCATAGAAATTCTATTATTGAATTTAGTACTAAATAATATAATATATATATATATATATATAAAAATATATATAGCAACTGTGTCGTAAAGCAACAAAATGAAACAATACAAAATACAATAATAATTCATATGGAAATAACAAAAAAAAAAAAATAAAACAAAGAAAATTTTAAATACAAAAAAAAATGGGTTTGCTTTTATTACGAAATACAATTCAAAGAAAATTAGGTGAGTTTATCCAAGCATTCACATTCATTTTATCTTTATTTCATGGAAACGGAAATCTAAGGGATCTAAAAAAACGTCTACTCTACTGAGAAAATGTGGAGAAAAATGGTGGAATTTGTTCTCTTTTGATATAGCAGCGAAGGTATTGAATTCTCAGTTTATTTACGAGGGAACCAAGTAAAGCTTGCTATTTCTACGTTCATGCTAAAGCCACAGCCTATATATCAGAGAGGACAAACGACTCAGTTTACTTTTCATTAAGACTCTTCCTTCAAAAACCGCAAAGATTGTGAGGTCTTTCTTAAGTCAAAAATAATTCCAAGAAATTCAGCAGAATCTCAATTGAGCTTTCATAGTTTGAAGCAAAATTTGAAGCAACCATTTAAAATTCGTTAAATTTTGCAGTAAAAGCTATAACCAAGTAAGCTAAATTGGTAGCTGTTTCATCCAAATCCAAGGGAGATATAATATGATATTATATAAGATGGTCCATTTCAAGAGGGCTGTATTTCGTAACACTTGACTGTTAAACCAAACACGTTTTGTTCTAGTTGAGAGTCAATCATTTAAAAAAACACGTAAAAATTGCGGAAATAAACTTAAAATGATGACTCAGATCAGATTAAGAGAAGATTATAGAGCATACATTTGTCCAACTACTCCCGCAATTAGTAAAGTTTGAGGGGAATTTGAAGAGACTGGATCAGTTGCAGCTATTGTAAGGGCTTTGTGTCAACGTTTTGTTTGTTCCACCTCAAATATTGCGCCTGTAAGCAAAAGTGTAGCCGTTCTCAAGAGCTTTCTTATGGCAAATTATACCTGTTTTAGTCATTCAGTTCATCTCTCACCACAAGTAAGGCAAGTAGGACATTCACAACGCCATTTGTACGTCGATTAAATTCTTTAACAACAAGTAAGGGACTGCGATTTTTTAAGAAAAATTGTCGCTTTTGGCGTTCCGCGAATCCTGAAACACTTGAAAATAAAAAACAAAAATGATTACTGTCTGTCTGCTGCGCTCTTTGGTCCGGAGATGTGATGGACCTCTTTAGTGGAATCCAAACTGAAATTCTTGTTATCACCGAAGCTATTGGAACACATAGGAATCGGATTTTCAAGCAGAGATACATATCTGAGCCTTTAATTGACCGCCAGGCAGCCAAAGAAGTCCTAGTTTGATGAATTCTGAATTTGTTTCGGACCGTTGGAGAGTTTTAATTGACTATCTTTTGTTAAAGACGATTTGCAAGGTTGATGATCAAACTCATCAATATTTTAATGATTCTGATGAACTTTTGCCATCAACTTCTTACACGATTCGCTCCTATGCTTATTTGTAGGTTTTCAAAATAAAAAATATCTACGCTTACACAATAGAGCATACGTAACTAACGAATATTTCCCGATTACATCTCGTATATTCATTCAAAAATGTTTTTAAAATTCGAGATTTTTAGAAGAGAATATGCCCTAATTGCGAGCAGAGATCTGTCCCCATTTAATTAGAATCTTAAATTTTCCGCATAGATCTTTTTTTTTCGATGTTTCAAAATATGTTATTATTACCCTCTTCCAGCCCATCCGCACCAGGAGCTCAGTCAACCAAAAAATTTTCGAAATGCACAACGATCGTATTAGAATGACGAGTTGAGCTGGTACGTCAGTCTGATTTTTCGCAAACTAGTCCCACAGTTTTTGTGATATTTCAAACAAAGTTGGTATACAAATGAGCTATACTACATATACTCGTATAGGAGCATTTGCCAGGACGAACTGCCATAACACATACATGTATGGCCGATATTTCAGGTTTGGGAATTTTGGTCATAATTTTTGTCGTGAAACTTGGTATTCTGCATATATATGATGAATTACATATTGGTGCTGAAAAAATGAACAAAATCGGATGACTATAAAATATAGCTCCCGTCACCGATTTCTTCAGAATGAGGTTTTTGGTCAAAAAGCATCAAACAGTATGAAATTCAACAATTGGCTGTAAACATTAATAGACATTGATATAGAAAATTATCGAAATCGGCAGGCTTTAGCCCTTTCCAATCAATTTTTTATATTTGAGAATAAATATTTCAACCTAAAATAAAATATCAGAAATTTGTTATGATCAGGATAGATGTAAAGACTTTGTCTGGACCGCATATAGCTCTTCCTTTATCTTTTATGTATTTGAAATCTTAGTTTTTTTAACGACTTTTTGGTTGTCTAGCCCTTTTATAAGCCTTTTCAATTTTTTTAGATTTATTTTTTATTATTTTATAATATATGTATTAGCTCTATACTTAGTATGCTTATGGGTTTTCCAGAAAAATCATTAAAATATTTCCACTAATTCCACCAATTACTGTCATAACGATGAGTGCTCGAATAATTTTTATGACAACAATATATTTATTTCCAATTGTTGTTATTAAAGTAATATTTTATTGCTTTACACTGACAATCGTTTGCCAATAAAGGATTATCTCACGTCACTTAGCAACAATTATTGACCACCTGTGCTAGAATTTACCAGAGATCGAGCGGATCATAGAACGTAGAAGTACAACCAACAACAATACCATCAACACCACCAACTTGGCAAAAAATAATTTCCCAAGCCACTGAAAGCTTAACAACAACAAAGTATTAGAGCTGCTGCTGCTGCTGCTGTTGATCTGCTGCTATTTGTCCCAGGATACTTAGAAAACAATTTCTGTTGCTCACGTGTGATCTCGTTAATTGTCATTTGTTAATTGTTAATTGCTTAGTGTGGTTTCTCTTGCCTGTGGCACAAAAAATAAAAATAAAAAAATAAAAAATATAAAAAACTAGTCAGTCAGCGCGGCTCACCATAAAATTCAACAGAACGCCATATAACAATAATTACGAGTGCATAAGCATATATGTATGTATATGTATGACAACAAATTGTGTGTGAATAAGTTCTTAAAATAATATCACATGCATACAAAAAGGACGTATATTCTAATCGAGACTAATCGGGAGAAAGAGTGGGCTCCGCACAAAAATAAATAATTGCCTGAACCGAAAAAAGAAAGAAAAAAAATGGAAACAAATTAAACGTCAGAACTACGTTGACAAAAAATGCCAATATATTTGCTATTCGTATTGAAAACTATGCCTTTTGTGCCATCTCGGTACTTTGTGCGCTGTTGAAGTTC